TTGTCCCACGATTCAAATATCTGATATGAACTTTTTACGTTATTTATTAATGACATTTGAACTAGTAATACAAATCGAGTTGGAAATATAGAACTTTCTCGTGATTGGTTAATTTATGTAGTTGAATTATACAGATACTTTTACGTCTTAATATAGTAAATTTTTTTTTAAAAAATATAACCGTCGTTCATAATAATACCACGATAAATATCTTGTATATCTCTGGGATTCGCCTTGTCTAGGTATACTTCGCTTAGAGACAGTTTTTCAATTTAGAAAAATAGTAGAGGTAATAAACACTATTTATTATGAAATCGTATGGTTATATGCATAAGCATATTACGATTACCCAGATAAGCTATTAAAATACCCACCAAAGATATATATGAGTTGGCAAATGTCAAAAACGCTAGTGAAACATCGAAACCCCGCAAATAATGAAAGATATCTTACAAAGAGTGTCAGTTCTATGATCACCTAATTCAAGCTTAAATTAAACTACCGTATACACGACCCGGGTCTCTTATATTCTACCAAAAAAATTAGTAAAAAAAAGAAAATAATTATTAAAAAATGAGGGTGGGTCTGATATATAGGGAAGTCTTGTATACGGCAGTTTACGGTATTTAACAATAAGCTATGGATTTGACGCATTTGGTATAGGAATCACAGGACCAATACTTTTTGTGATATATGCTAAGCTTCGTGAAAGTTTAAAACACTAGGTAGAAGCACAATTCTATATTTTGCTAAAACAAATTATGCTACTGTTAAATGTGGATTTAACGTAGTTCCGGAAAATGATATATACATTATTTAATCTTGACGTTATACTAATCCAATGCATCTATAATATTTAGCTTTTATTTACTAGTCTTGCCAACTTTCGTTAGTTTTGCCAGTTTCACCATGTTTTGCCGGTTTCGCCATTCTGTCCTTTTTAGAATTTTTTGGCGAAAGCCGAAACTAGGGTTTCGGCTTTTGCCAACGCGAAGCCCCTAGATTTCACCTAACAACTATAGACCAAACAAACTCTAACTACATATTGGAAAACACTTGAACAAATGAATGTTTAAAATAATAAGGTCGACTAACTTAATATGAATAAAAGTTATATTATAAGTTAGAGATTGATGAACTTGATTTACTATATTAATATGAATAAATAACATCTATACTTACAGGCCAAATTTATTAAAAAAAAAGATTTATATTGATTCCTGAAAACAAATTAGCATTGATTTATGCAGTATATAACTTGTACATACAAATAAGCATATACACACTTATGAAGACATTCAAACTTTTTCAAGATCTATTTTGAAAATTAAGAATCGTAGAGCACGAACAGGTGATATTAAGGCCGATCGATAAGGCTATAGAGCCCTGTATAGGGAAAAATAATTAAAATAAGGAACGCAAACCAATGAGCAGTTTTGCAAATAAAGGAACTACAACCAACCAGAAGAATAAGTAATCCTACAATTATCAGCATTGATAACGTCTGAACATTCTAATTAAAGCGTATATGAAGTACAAAACATTCAGACAAAAAAAACCTTAAATGCAGATCCTTGTATAAGCAATAATCAAATAATCATACCACCTGATCTGTAATGGGTACATAAATAAAAACTAATTTTTAGAACAAACTTATATAAAACATAAGAATTTTGACCTCTATACAGGCACAATTTCTTATAAGCACAGAATTTCTTGAAACTGGGAGCGTGATTATAAATAGGTTTGACTATGGTTTATAATCAGCTTTTTGGTTTTACAGTCAAACCTCTCTACAGCCACGCTCTTGGTTCCAAGAAATTGTGTACTTATAAGAAATTGTGCCTGTATAGAAGTCAAATTTCTTATGTCTTATATAAGTTTGTTCTAAAAATTAGTATGCTTATATAGAAGTTGTGACTCTATAGAGAATGAGTGTATGGAGGGCAGACTATATCTGTTAATGTAACAGGTGTAAATAGATTAATTGATAAACATAAATAAAATAAACCATATTGTTGCATGATCTATGCACCATTTTATTGATAGCACATTATACCAACTTACCACCTCAACAGGGAAAACTATATGAGCAATAAAGAACCAATTTATTGATGGTCCCGGTCATTCCACCGACAATTTACCGACAAGTTCATTTCATCGACAATTATTTCACCGACAGTCAACTCACCAACAAAGTAATTCTGGTTATTGTTGTTAGTATCAAATTTAGAATTAGTTAAGGTTAGTGCAATTTTTAAAAAAACTTCTTGGTGAAATAATTGTCTGTGAAATACCTATAAATATTCGACATATGGGATCTTTGCTAGGAAAATCACCCTTCGGCATTTTCAGATCGGGATAATTCAGACAAACTTTGATTCACATACCAGTTCTTATTTGCACGTAAATCATCGTTTTCTTTATTGTTTCAAAAGCTTATCGAATATACTTTTGAGTCAATAAAGGCAAAGATTATTTATGTGCAAATAAGAACTGATATGTAGATCAAAGTTTGTCCGAATTATCTCAATCAGAAAATGCCAAAGGGTGATTTTCGTAGCAAAGATCCCATATATCAAGAGATTTTGTCGCCAAAAATCTTCATGTAAGATATCTAGAGGTGTTGATATGTGGAGTGTCGACTATATTTTTTGATAATAGCTCAGTAAATGAATCAGTTTTATACATGTCCTAGTCTAGCAATCTATGCATCTATATCTAAAGTTGAATCAATGGCTAAGTAATAGTTACCTTATAAGTTGATGGCTTAGCAAAATATACTTAGTTGATAACCTTGAAGTTAATTGCTCAGTAAAATGAATCTTTTGGTTAGTAATTAGTCATTTATTATCTATTCGTTATTACTATCGTAACCTTTTGCCCTTCCCTTTTACGTTTTCTTTTTTCTAGTTACCGTTACAATGCTTTGTAACATACCTTCCTTAATTGATCTAGTATTTAATTCTGGTTTTGTTTGTTTATAGTAAAGTAAGGTATTCATTGCCAAGGTGAAATCAATGTTCCATATTGCAGCACGTATGTACGTTCATATCTGGTATCAGACATATACTTATAGGAGACATTCGTTTGGCTGGTGTAAATTAATTGCCCAGGGAACTATTCTAAACGAATATAACTTACATGTTAAACTTAGATTAGTGAGCACAGGGACTGGACTCGAGTCAACTCGTAGCTTAAAAAACATAGTCTTAATTCGAATCAACTCGAGTCAAGACTATGTTTTTTAAGCTACGAGTTGACTCGAGTCCAGTCTCTAAGTGAGCGTAGCTTTGGATTAAGTATTAGATCGATAATATGTATTAATAAATATGGGCTAAAGGTCATAATAAAGGTCGTAAAATATAAAGAATAGCTTCGTTAATAATTCTGTAATATTTGAATTTGATCTACGTAAATTAGCCAATTAGATGAACGTTACCTATTACTTTATCACATTATTATCAAATAGGGAATTTTTATTGGTTGACTATATAAAAAAAAAAAATTTACGATCCCCACTTTGTCAATGTGGGCAGGATATGAAAACCAACTATATAAATTTATATGGCTTTATTCATAAAAGGAATATCTTTAATTCTATTCAATAAATAGGAGGGTCAAGCTTAAATAAATTTTAAGAAATCTTAAAAAAACTTTTGAAAAATAAAATAAGCAGGCAAATTTGCCTGCTAGACGGTTTAAGGGATAGTAACTACAATTATAATTGATCTAGAAGCTGAGACAGAAACTATTCTAAATTCTATGATAGAAGTAGATTATAAGATAGAAATAGATCTAGAAGCCATAATAATTATTCTTACAATCGAAATTATTCTCGAAAACAAGATAGCTATTATTCCTATACTGATAATTATAGGAGATCTTCAAACTACTCATTCTCTTCTTACTATCATAATGTCAACTACTTTGACCAAAACTTCAAATCTTCTTTTTCTATAAGCTAACAGAAATGGAAAACTCTCTTAGACAACTCCTCTATCTGAAGTACTTTCTTTGCTCACCTTAGCCATGAAGCTAAATCTATGGCTATTTTTTCTAAACCAACCACCATACCTATTAAATGCAATATCAAAATTAAAAACAGATCTTATCAAGCTATTGTAGATAGCAGAGCATCTATTAGTATAATTGCTTATAAAATAGTCTAAGAACTAGAATTCAAAATCGAATAAGTCTTAACTAGCCTTATTATTTCTGCTACCAGAACTTCCTTTTAATTTCTAGTAATTATCTGAGATCTCACTATTCAAATTGAAGGTGCTACTATCCCTATTACTGTTAAAGTAGTCACTGCTACTTCCTATTCTTTACTTCTTGAAAATAACTAGTTCAAGAAAGTTGAAACTAGTTATAATTAGAAAAATAGCTTTTATTCCTTTAAATAGAAAAATCACAAGTATTATATTTCTACTATTTATTAGAATAATTAATCTCTTTTTGCTCAATCTAATATCACTAACTCAAACAAATTGAAGCTTTATGAATAGGAGTATCTCACTTCTAAAGAGGCTTATGTATTTAGAACTATTAACTTAGATACAGACAATCCTAACGACTAGACTATCTACTAACTTTATCAATACTATATTCGAAATTCTTCTTGAGTATATAAAATTGTGGCTTATCTGCTTATCTATTTGCTAAATATCCTACCAACTATTGCAATCATTGTCAAAAAACTAGACATATTGCAGTTTATTGCTCTATACAAGTTCTATAATATACCTCTTGTCAAATCTGTAAACAGAACCACTTGTACAAAGACTACTTTAATAATCTCTGTCATAAATACAATGAACAAGAATATATTGTTATTGATTATTCTTATACTATTCTATGCAAACAGAATTAGATATATTAATGTAGCTGCGACTCTAATGAAGTAGCTGTACAAAGAGCCTACTATTATAGTACCAGATATATTTACTAGGGTTGCAGATGAATTAAAATTCTAATGGTTCACCACTTTTCACCAATCACCAATCATCAATCAGCATTGGTGATACTAGTATTCCTGGTGGTATTGGTAATACTGGTGATGCTGGTGATACTGATGATCTTGGTGGTACTAGTGGCGCTAGTGATACTAGTAGCACTGGTGATACTGGTGATGTGGTGATACTGGTGGTGCTGGTGATACTGGTGATGCTGATGATTGTAAAGTTTAATAATTTTCAATTTCTATCATTATCATTGATGAGATGTTCTTGACAAAAGTAATATAATTTGTAGCTTGTTATCGAATTGCTAGATCAGATGACTTTATGGATCACATGCTTAGATCAACCTTTTATGGGTTGCTGTATTAGTTTCGTTAGATCAGGTTTTTATTGATTAAGTTTATGTCATTAAGTGGCAAACAGATATAAATGTTAACAAATTAGTGCTAAGGTAAAGGTATATTTTCATATGGCTTCAAGCGTGAATCAAATCAGTGGGACAGAGGAAGAAAGATGTAATGTAGTATATTTAAGGGTTATATTTTTAGTAAAAAAAGCTTAGTTTAAATACTTGATGGTTGACTTGTATGACAAGGTTAATGTTAGGCAGTAGTATGTAAGGACCTGGTTTTGTTTTGGTTTTTTATTTTTGCAACTATGAAGTTCTGTGGCTGTTGCTGCAGTAGTACAATGATTTTGTTTTTGTACGATTAGGCTCTGAGGCTGCAGTAGTATAAGGATTTTATTTCTGTAGTGCTTTTGTAGCAATTAGGCTGCAGTAGCAATATGAGAACCTTGGCAGTTAGACATCGTGGCTGTGGTAGCAATGCAAAGATCTTGTTTTAGGCTCTATGGCTACCGTAGTAATATATAGACCTTCGCTAAATGGATTGTAGGTTCTATGACTAAAATAACAGTGCAGTGTATTTAAAAACCCAGTTTACTTCTAGTCATCATACTTCAATCCTATATATACATGAGTACCCATATGCATATGCATAAGGCTACGCAAAGTTAATTTTTCATTTTGCATAACCTGGTATTTCAAAATTCTGGTCGGTAGGTTAGATTTTTTTTTTTTTTTAAAAAAAAAAAAAAACTTTGCATGGCCTAAATTAATTCATGTTCATATCTAAGGTTATACAAAGTTAATTCTTCGATTTGCATAACATGAAATCAGAAAATTTTGATTTTTTTTTTCAGACCTATCAGGTACTTTCAGAAAATTAAGACCATCATCAGATGACACCAGAGAAAAAATTTAAATAGCAAAAATAGAATAATTGGCACAATAGGAGTTTAAAAAAAAAGAAATTTTTTTTTAAAAAAATTGGGTCGGCGGGCTATACAAAATGAAAAATTAACTTTGTATAGCCTAAACTTTACTGATGCCGATCATTTAATGTATTTGAGATTTTGCAGAAAATACATCACTAAAAAATGCCATATGAACTAGAGTGGGAAATGAACCCAATGGGCTTTTTTTAAAATTAATTCAGGCCATCTTTCAAAATACTGATTACATAGTAAATTACCATGTGATCAGTGTTTTGAAAAATGGTCTGAATTAATTTTAAAAAAAAGCCTGTTGGGCTCGTTCCCCACCCTAATATAAACCATATATTTTGTGATATTATATATCATCCCGTTTCTGATATAATAATAATAAATTTAAATTTCTGGTTTGAAGTTTTTTCTTGGCAATAATTATTATGAAATTTATTATCTTGCACAAAGCATATTTTTGATTAAATTTAATTGTATCACGTTCTTGATTTTAGCGCAACTATTACACAGCGCGTTTATTGTATTTTGGGATTTTGCGACTGTATTAGGCCCGGACCAAGAATTTTAGAGTCATAAGCCTGAAATATTGTATTACCATAATTAAAGATATAGAAGTTTTGTCAAGATAGGTTAATATATCCTCTTCACATAATGCCCAGATAATACACCCTTCACTATATAATCTACTCAAATGTTTATCATATGAATATAAAATATCTAGATACATGATCATACTGGTTCTGCGTAGCACCATGTGCTATGCAGCTACCTTATTTTA